TATAACTTGTTTGGCCTAGGGAAGGTATGGTCTAACTGGCTGTGCATCAGCTGGGAACTTAGGCAGTTCCAAGTTCTGGTCCAGGTTCTACTGCTGGGTTAGAAGTCGTACTGCGGTATGTTACCAAATTTGCCCATTACTTTGGGGTGTGCTCATTTATTAGGGATAGTTTCTAGGGTCTTGGTGATTCTGTCAATGTGCTGCTTGTGTTACTATACGGAGCTGTATTTCTCCCTTCTGCAAGCCCTCACCCCCAGTGGAGCTATCTTGCAGGACTCAATCTCAATGGGCTGGGTTCCTCCAGTCACCAAATCAGTCATACACACAAACACACACAAATTAACGTGACACGCCTGACCTGGCCGGGCTGATCAGCATGGACAGGCTGACACCCTCATATGCCAAGAATCAGTTCATAAGAGCAACAATAAAATGCAGTCAGACACAAGCACACAGGTAAACAGAATCCCTCTGAATCCGGCTGGGTGTCCAGCTGACACCCTCATGGGCCAGCATTCAGTTCATAAGGGCACGTCTGAGTCAAACTGGGTCAATCAGCCTGTACAAGCTGATCCCCTTATGTGTTTCAAACTCAGCACGTCCCAATCTTTGGCCTCTTGATGAGCAGACCCCACAATAATTTGGGCTTCACAGGGATCTTTAGCATAGGTAAAAGAAGCGTTGCTGCAGAGCACGGGAGGAAAGAGAAGCAGAGAAGGAAAAATATACCCAATTACTACCAGTTTGACTATAAAAGTTATTTATTGCTAAGCATATGAAATATATAATAGTACTAGTAGTAATAGACATGCAAAAGAAAAACAAACACCAACAATGACAATACTACCCTGGTTTCACTAAGTATTTGGGGAAACTTAGCTCAAGCTTAACTGATACAGTTCAGGTTCAGAAGTTTATGCCTAGAAAGAAGACAGAGAACGCTGGGATCTCACCTAGTCCACGGTACTCAGGCTGCAAAGCTGACAGGCACAGTCTGTAGCACAGTCCTTGAAGGGAGAGATGATCTGTTCTTCCAGCGTCCCAAGAACGACAGGGGATGGTGTCAGCACAGGGGTTTTCTTCTTCTCCTTCTTTCCTCCTGCTTCTACTTCTTTTCCTTCCTTTTCCTCTTCCTCTTCTCCCTCTAGCAGCACACACACTTACAGATTTTTATACCCTCAGTTTAGCTGCTTCGAAGCACCCTCAGTAGTGTAAATCATTGTCTTTTCTATTGACAAGGGGTTATCTGGTTTGGACCATCTCAGGAAACTGATTGATAATCAGGAAACACTTAAGATTAGGGAGTAACCCAAATACTTGGGAGCCAGCTTGAGATTCCTATGGGTGGCAGATATACTGATGGGATATCTCATGGTTTCTTCAGGAACAATAGATAGCTTGCAGCATCAGGATTTTGGATTTTTACTTGTTGTGCACAAGCCTCAGCTTAGCATGACTTTTCCAGATCTTACTATAGTCTTTTAACAGACTTAAAACAATTATTGGGGTGCTCATAACCTTTTGTGGAGAGGACTCCCACCAGTCGTCTCGGGAAAGATATGACAACACCTGGGATTAGGGCTCCAGCAGGCTGGATGCTGTGATGAACCCTTAACCATTGTTCAAATGTTGCCCATACCCCCTCTGACTCGGTCTCTTGCCTCAGCATTCCCTAACCCGGCAACCGAGTTTTAGTCAATCAAGTTTAAATAGGCCTCCCATAGTGGGACCGGGGAATGTACGGCCCGAGATGCCTATTAAACTTAGAGCTGTGTGTGTGTGTCTGGGGGGGAAAAGTCCTTAGCAAATCCAGATTAGAACTGGTCTGATAAATGCTGAGCTGGGTGTGTGTGAACATGGGTTGATTAACATTGGAAGCACAGATTCCCCATCATGCAGCGCTCTCCTGCTTCTCTGGTCCCAGAATTCACTGCAGTCTCTGCTTCAGGCTTTCTGTTTTCCATCTCTCATGTAAATGAGACCTAGGGCAGTTGATTCACTCGTCACCCTTATCTGGTGAGGGTCTTAGGTGCGTCTCTCACTGCATCTTAATCAGTTTCGTTTAGGTAGAGGAGGGGGGGGGTGAGTCCTTTGTGAGTCAGACAGACTGTATCCTGTACCAGGGTTCCCCAAGAATACAGAGCTGAGACATAACAGGTAGCACTGAGAACCTTGAGTCACAAACCAGGACCCTATGGTGCTAGGCTTTGTACAGATATGAAACAAAAAATCAGTCCTTTCCCCAGAGCACTTACAGCAAATCTTCAAATGATGGAAAATGAGGGTTGGAAGGGACCTCAGGAGGTCATCTAGTCCAACCTCCTGCTTAGGACCACCCCCAACTATATCATCCTGGCTAAGGCTTTGCCTAACCAGTCTCAGACTGTGTGACCTTGGGCACGTTTCTTTGCCCTTCTAAGTTTACCGATCTTTAAAATAGAAATGATAATGCTCACCAATCTCCCTCCCATGGGTGCCACAAGGATTCATTAGTTACTATCTGTGCAATGTTTTGAACATCAAAAGCACTATAAAATGCCAAGTATTGTTTAAGGGTTTTGAAGAAAGAGGGACTAGAAATCCAGGCAATGTTTGTTCAAGATGCCCTACAAAGCATTTTAAAAAAATTATCCTTTGTAGTCTACAGGTGTGGGGATGAATGAGGCTCTCAGATCAATGCATATGGGGTGAAATGCAGTTCTCAGGGAAGCCAAGAGGAGTTTTGCTGTTGACATCAATCTTGGCTTCTACCCAATGAATCTGAAAGTGTCCCTAGTCAGTAGAGTTTGTGGTCACCAGGGCAGAAGGAAAATTAGATATCAGCTATGTAGTACTGCCATGTATACCATGCATGAAAGGTGCCCAGGTTGGTAGTGGGATTATGGTGGCAGAGGTGGGACCCTTACCTATTTTCCTCTGTACAAGTGCTTGGTGTTAAGTGCTTGCTGCTAAGATCTCCTGGACTTGCTGCATTGGGTTGCATGTGCTCCTTATGTCTTGCAGGAAACAGGCATATTCTATTTAATGCACAGGCCCCCTGTGTGTTTTGTATAAAGCACCTGTGGTATAAGCATGTGGTGGCATCCACTAATATCTGCGCTGGTAATAAGAAGCACTGCTCTCTATCCCTCCAGGGTAGTGGAACAACACTCGCTCAGAGCTACATGCCACCCTACTTTGGAGCTCTGCCATTTCAGAGGAATGGGAGAAGGACTGGATTGAATGCAAAGCCCTCATTTTTCTATTTCACAGGTAGAAACAAGAGGCTTGACTGACCTGAAATGTGATCAACACTATCCTAGCAGCAGATCAGCCCAGAGACTCTCAGTCAGCATCAGTCTGCAGCTGTTCCAGTGGAGGGTGGGGACAGATCAGGCCTGGAATGGGATGTGAATTAAAACCTTAATCCTAAAACAAGTATCTCCAGTAATAAGGATGGCCCCACTGGACTTACCTCAAGTCATGGCATTCCAGCCCAGCCATGCTTACAACAGGCTGGCAACAGATGCACAAGGCTCTCAAGATATCTTTCACACATAGTGCATACCCTGGCGCAGAGCGGAGCCAGCATTTCCTTGCTTGCTACTGCTGTGACTTTGCTGCAGAAACAAGCTATATCTTGTTGGTGCTGCCATTGACTCACCACCTGGCCTTGAGTACACTATGTCTTTGCTGCATGCCTCAATTTGCCCAGTTGTCATGATGAGGGTATACCACTGAGGCACATGGAAGCAAAGCACCATATAAACACTAAGTATTAGTAGTGCTGGCATTACAACAGTGATCTAGGGGCAACATCCTGATTTATGAGTTATATTCAAGCTGGTACTGCATCTCTCTAGGAACAGGGGGCTCAGTCCTTTATGTATCCCTTGACCCAAGGGTGAAGAACCTTGCTGTGCAGGCTGTAATCATTGATGAATGCCTTGGCACAATCAGGTTGTTGTGCCGTGTGTATGGTGCACCACTGGTGGGTGACCTTGCTAATAGGTTGGTCAGGATGGGGATGTGAATCCTCTTAGGCTCCTCTGTACAGGCCAGTTCTGGCATGGCTTCCCTGATGGGCCATTCCAGGGTGGTGACAGCATGAGCTCAAGACATGAGGAGATGCACCAAACAAGGGGCTGGAAACCAAACAAGGGGCTGGAGGAGCAGCTGGCCCTGGATGAGGACACCAGCTCACTACTGAATGCTGACTGAGACTCTGGGGTGGCAGATGCTGAAGAAGGACCGCACGGATTCACAGATGTTTCAGGCTGGAAGGGACCTTGTGAGATCATTGGGTCCACCCCCCCAAATTTATATCAAATTTGCTGAAGTCTGCTGGAACTGATGGAAACTCACTTGATTCTAACTAGCCCAGGTGGGTTGTCCATTAAACACCAGCCCAGCAGTTGGCCTGAGCTCTGTTCCTGGTTTTACCACTGACCTTGGCCAAGACCATGCTCCAATCTATGCCTCAAGTTTCCCATCTATGAATTGGGAACCATTACACCAACTTTCCTTTAGCAGAGTACCTTCCTATCTTGCCCATTATTCTGTGAGCTCTTTGGCACAGGAACCGGGTCTGTCTCTCAGTATGTCTTTCCGCAGGACTACAGTGGGCCCCTGATCTCAGCTGGCAATAATACACATGGCGGCAGTACAAGTAGTAACAGCTCACAGACAGATCTTAAGACTTTATGTGACATTTTAAAAGAAAGAAATCTGAAGGCGATGGGAACGAAGCCAAATGGCCTGATGCCTGACCTGCATCCCTGCAGTTCTGTGAATGGGAAATGTTAATTCAAGCATGAGATTGTATTAGAGACTGGAGGAGGTTTGACGAGCTGTGCAGAGTGGTGTGTGCAGGACACAGCCGGCTGGAGGATGAGGATGATTTGCTTGTAAGAAGAGCCAGGAACAGGCAGCTCCTCTGCCTTGTCAATGCAATCTATAACCAGGAGAGCTTGCATTAAACTGCCCTCTACCAGTCCAGCAGTGTTCCAGTTTTCTCCAGCAGGCCAAGGGAAGTATTTCTGGAGCTCGCCTCTCTCCTTCCAGTCATGTGATTAGAACAGTTATTTAAAGAGGCAGAATACAGCTGGAATAGAGAGCAGTCTGCGTCTCTCCTCCCAGCGCAGTACTGTAGCTAGCACATTCACAGGGATCAGCATGGTTGAAGCTTTTGCAGGCACCTGGAAACTGGTGGAGAGCGTTAATTTTGATGAATATATGAAAGCACTTGGTGAGTGATCGAATGCTTAAAAGGGGCTGAGGGGTGGGACCCAGGTGGTATAGTGCATGAGTCTTTATCGTAAAAGTGAATGATGGTTGGTGGCTTATTCTTTTCTCTGGATATACAGGCAGAGCTATGGGCTGGCCAAGAAAAAAAAGCAGATACTTCAGCAGAAAGCAAAGGCAGCAAAATCTTTGTGTTAAGAGGTCAGCCACAGGAACGCTCCCATTTCATCCTCTACAGGCAGGGAAATGTCCTTTCTGCATGATCTGTAGCATGTGGTTTCAATGTAATGGGGATATTTTAGGTGATGTTTAAAACAATGTGATCTCTTTTCTTTGTCTATTTTACACTGACATTTCAGAGCCTCGGGAGATGGTTTCTGCTAAGCCATGTTTCAGAAATAGAAAGGATGGGCTCAGCAATTGCTTTGTGGGGAAACCGGGTCATTTTTCCTAATGGGGAAAAATGCAGTTTTTTATAGCTAAACAAACAGCAAACAGGATGTCATGATGGATTTAAAATGCACAAGCTCATTCCAGCCCCAGCCCCTCTGACCTTGATGTGTGTGGCATGGAGGTAGCAGGGTTAATCTTCCTATTGCCTGATTGCTGTCCCAGCAGCTTGGTATTTAAGGAGGTTGTTCTGCATGTTTGGCAGCTGGATTGGAATGGTAGGGGGGAAATAGCCACATAGCAAAGTCAGGGGTTTGGACTAAAGCCAAGGCCAGCGCTAATATTACTAGGATCAGAGACAGAAAGGGAAGTCTGCATTGCTCAGCATCTGTCTGTAGATGGGCAACCAAGGCATGGCTGCTAGCCAGGATCCTGTCTCAGTGCAACTATCTGGGAGGGGTCAAATTATCAGCCACACCCAAGCATTGCCCTCTGTGTGAAGGTGAGGGGTGTGGATGGCCCTGGCATCTGATGCAAGATCTCTCCTGCTCTTTGCCTGGTCGCTCTGCAGTTAGAGGTCCACTTCTCTTATTTCCTGTCTGTGCTCCATGTGCTGGTTACTCTGTGCCATGCAGCATCTGCAGATAGATATGGGTATATGGCTAGACCTATGCTAAAAACCTGCCATGCTTTTTAGTAAGTGCAGCAGCACCTGAAGGGTGCCAGTGGGTAGAGTCCAGTTACACCCATGCAGTTTTAGCATATTTGCATGGTTGGAATTGAGAGCAGGGCCAGCCCTACCCCAGGCTCTGCACCAAGGGAAAGCATTTGTGTTATTGCATTGGAGAGCCTGGCCACCCTCTGCAAATGAAACCCTGAAGGGCTGAGCCGGGGGAGCACTGGACCGATACCCATCTGAAACTGCAGAAATGTGCTAGTGCCAGTAAAGCATCCGAGAGGAGCTGTTGGACTCCTCTGCCCCAGCCAGCTTGCTTGGCTGTGAGAGACTGCATTGAAAAAAGATGATTAGCTGATGCTCCACCCCTCTCGCAATCTGATGGAGATACGTGCTACCTAAAATGGCTGCTCTCTCCTGGTGAACTCACTACCCTTGCAGCCAGCTCCCAGACACTTGTCATCAAATGAGAAGGGCAGGGACATTTTTTCCCAGTCGGGGTATAGGGGGAATGGGACCCTGAAATGAAGACCCTGTATGGAGAGAAACATTTTGGACAAGGCTTCTGCCAGAGGGAGGCCCTCTAATCCCACCCAGATTGTTCAAGGCTAGATTTGCCCCCGGATTCTGTTGGAGACTGATATTCTGCTTCTCAAGGCATGTCTGGCTTTGGACTTTGCTGGATGAAGTCAGACAGCATTGGCCAAGGTTTTCCAAAAGGAATTAGCCATTGATGTGCTGAAGTAGAGATCCTGAAAGGGGTCAGAGTCTCAGAGATGTGGGGCCCCAGGGTCCTTCTGCGCATCTCCAATTGGGCTTCCAAAATCAGGAATCATTTCTTGGCCAGGTCTTCCCTGTTCTCCACTTAGGATATAGCCTCACACCCCACACAGCTGAGCCCTAAGCAGGGCTGGGCTCCTAGTGGGGCTTGCAGATGACACAGTGCTGTGCCTCTGAGCTTCAGTGTCCAGAAAGAAGAACCAGTTTGGTGCTGTTATGGGTTAATTATTGGGCCAATTAGTGAGTGCTTCCCTGGGGTCCATGAGTTAGGAAGCTGCTGGTATGTTGCCTATTTGCTTCTCATAAGCTTGAAACAATAGTGTCACATCAGCAGTTCTGCAACATTTTCCACTGCATCTCAGTTTTTATGGTAGGCTTCAGGCTTGGTGCCTCAGTCCTGCAGCGTTTTCCTGCCTGCCTGCTGAGCATCGCAGACTGCAGTGAGTTGCTCTAGAAATGGATCTTTCATGTGCTTGAGAAGAGCGGCGATGCTGCGCGCCCCACGCACAGATCCCAGAATATGGGACAAAGGTCCACTCCGCTGTGTTGGCAGTCCTGTTAAAAATGGCAGAGGGCAGGTGGGGCCACAGAAAGCAGGATCTGCGAGTGTGCAAGTAGGGTGTAGAGAAAAAACTCAGCATTTAGCAAAGCACTGAAACACGTAGAAATTTAAGCACCTTTTCAAGTCCCTGACTGTACCAGATCCTGGCTTTGTGGAAACATCCCATTGCTTTTGGTTTATGCAAACCAAAACATTGCGTGTAGCGCATCTCCGACATGCGTGCAATACTAGGCCTGTGTGGGGATTGTATGGCATGATATGTTCGCAGTGGAGTTTGCTCATCAAGCAAAGCTCTCTCCTTCCTTCCCCCTCTCAGTAGCTGCTGTAGGGTTCCTCTTCATTTCCACCTCTGTACCCACTGGCATCCATGGCTACCTGAGAAAATGTGTCCCTGTAAGCTTGTCAGATTTCTTTCCCAGCTATACAGGTTGTCCAAAAATGATAGCACAAAATACCCTTACCTCTCCTGAACGATCATGATTGCAAACACTACTCCAACCCTACTACAATATGCCTCCTTCATCTGACCTGGTCCATGGCAACTGCTCATTTCTCTAGGCAGAACTGTGATCTTAAATCCGTTTCTGTATATATCTAATTGCAGGAAATAGGGGCGCAGACCCCCACCCCACCCCACCCCGGCCCTTACTTCGCACAGAGGGTCAGATCTTAGCTGGGCTAACCTGAATGGGACTTAGCTGCTTTATCTCAGCTAAAGAGCCTGTGGGCTACTACTTTGCTCACTTGTGTATTTAGGATTTTAAAATATTTCTAGTCAGGGTATTCAGGGAATGCATTGAAGATATTGATACTTTTCAGAGATATGTTCCTCTCTGGATTCTGTTAACTGCTTGGTTGCTATGATTTGCAGTCAGTCGGCCAAGTTCAGCTCACAATTACCCAGGAAGAACTCCCAGCAAGGGCAAATCCCCATAAAAGTGCAACAAGAGCAGTTGCTCATTGCAACTGAGAGCTCTACTGATATTAAATGAAGACAAGAAGCAACAGTGCTGTAATCGATGGAGAAATTATACAGTGCTAGCTTGACAGCAATAGAAAACGATCTATCAGTTAAGCCAGCCCATGCATGGAAGATTTGAAAGCACCCTGCCATAAATCTAATTAGATTACGGAGGGCAGGATTATAAATGATTTTATGAGTTAGAAACGAACCTGTACACGTTTTCCCATACTAGCCCCTGTGGAGGACTTATCCATGTGGAAGACCAAGAACACCAGTAATCTAGGAACTTTGTTATGCTGCGGTGCTGTTACACGGATAGGGTGACTGCCCCTTGCCTCTTCCGTCACATGAGAAGTTAAAGACAGTGAGAGGGCCTAGTCCCGGTCTTGCTCCTGCAGGTGCAGAATAGCACATGAGAAGTGGCAGGCATGAGTGTGGGGGTGATTGGGACTTACAGTTCTTGCTGAAATCACTGGTACCTGCTCCTCACTCAGTGAACGGTTAAATTGGCAACACTGGGAACAACAGGAGAAGCAGTGAAGGCCAAGTGAGGAGTCAAGCGCAGCAGGGAAAGCCTGACATAAAGACACCATTAATGACTTTGCCTGAAGACAGCTCCCATGAGTCAAATGGGAATAATGGTTTGGGGCCATATCCTTTGCAGGTATAAACTGATGTGGCTCCACATTTATGTCAGGATCCACTTGTTAGCCGTGTGGTGGGCTCCAAGTCTTCTGCATATAGCTCCTGCTGAGTGGATCATGGTCCTCTTTGTCCCACAGGTGTGGGTTTTGCTATGAGGCAAATGGCAAACCTGACCAAGCCAACCACCATCATTGAGCTGGAGGGCGACAAGATGATCTTGAAGACCCAGAGCACCTTCAAGACCACAGAGATCACATTCAAACTGGGGGAGGAATTTGATGAAACAACTGCAGATGACAGGCATGTCAAGGTAGGTCACTGGAAAGAACTTGCACGTAATGTCTGAGCCCCTGGCATTTTGCCACCTTTTCTTCCCTTCTTGTCAACACCTGACCATCATATCAATTTTTTCTGTTTGTCGAGCTTTTGGCTTGGGAGATGCATCTTTGCCATGTTCTGCCAAGCCCTAAGGAAAGTTCTGCAATGTTTTCTAATAAAGGCACCTCAACCATGAAATCTGGGCCTGGACTTTGTGCCTGCAGCTGATTGCCAATGGGTGGGCTGGCATCCAGCCAGCACTAGTCAGAGAGTTTTGAAGCTGCTCAGCAGGGGGAGAAAGGGTGGGTTAGAGGTTTCAGACCTGTACAGGATGAGTCAAGGCAATCCAAGTGTCATTAGGGAAGAGACTTCTCAAGGTCTGTAATCTGTTTTGCCCTTTCTACGCTCCACTTAACTTTCCGATAGGCATTTTTAGGGAAGCTGCAGTGCAAAGCAGGCTGGAGTGCTCAGATGACCCAGATGTTAGGAAGCAACTAATTAAAACTGAACCTCCAGCCTCAGCAGAGGGCTGAGTGGGAGGACCTCTTTATCTCTAGGAGATCCACTTCATCCATTGCTGGGCACCTGCTCAATCATTCTTGCTAGAGAGGACTTAACCCTCAGGCTCATAGAAAGTATTATTGTTTTAAAGAACAACCATAATGTATGCAAGAATGTGCTATGGTGAATACTGTTCAGCGGAATGGCTATGCCTGGTTCCCGTACAGGGTCTTCACCCTACCCCATCTCCCACACATGCCCACTGAACAGCATGCTGTGCCATCCCCTATCAGATTTTTCTAATGGACATGTGATGCCCTGGGCTTTTGTCCTGCCTGCTCCCATCACCTTCTAATAATCCCTCCCCTCCATGTGAAAATGGCTGAGGTATCTCCATCTTGAAGCCTGATGTTCAAGCCTTACCTCATGCAAACATCCCCATTCACTGAGAGGAGCCCGAGTTGATTTTGAGTTGCAGGATCATACCCTTCAGGGGCCAATTTTGAGAGGAACCTGTCCCATTCTTGGCTTCCAGGCCTGCCAGGCACATTGTGCAAGCGAGAAATATATATGACCAACCCCAGCTCTTTGCTCCAAACGGTCACCTGCTTAGGAAAAAAAAATACCAGGAGGTTGCAGTTGCTTTTTCACTGCTTTACACACAAGGAAAGTCTGAGAGGGGTGCTTTAAACATTGTTCTTGCATTAGTTTTTTATATCATAAATTTGGCTTTCCTGACACACTTTTCCCACAGAGGTGCTATGGAGAATGAATGGGATTAGCTGGCATGAAGGGAGCAAAGCTTCGTCAGTGGAGAAGGGAAGGGAGGTTTCGTCGGGCAGCATTGTTTGGTAACCTCTGCTTAACTCAAACAGGAGAGCATCTCTCTTTGCGTGCGATACAGATCTGTCCATCGCCATCAAACTGTATGTTCCTGCTCCAGGTTGCTCATCTTCCAAAAAGTCATTGAACAAAAAAAGTGTGTCAGCTTTTTCCAAATTAAAAAAAATCAGCAGG